AGATTACATTCTTAAGCGACTGGACACTGTTTACAAGAACAATGGGGTTTGGTAAGAGGGAAAAACGTTCAATAACATTCATTTACAAAGGCAGAACCATGCCTACTAGGCTAATACATGCCACAAGAAAACAAGGAGAGCATTACGGAAATTTATTTACCTAAACCATTAATTAAAATATTTCAGAGAGTCTTGATAGATTATGATCACTCCACTGCACCATTCATTCCTTACCTCTTTAATTTTATCTGCAGTAGTGTTGAGAACCTGCCCATAAAATATGAGTTGCTGTTAAGTGCTATCCACTCAGTTCCAACTCATAGTTTTCCCATGTCCTATACCATCCTTACAGTCATTACTCTCACTAATCACTCAGTATTCTAAACCTTAGGGATGGCTCTACTCCCTGGTAACTTTAGAATTAGAGGTGGCAATGTTAATCAAAAGTTATTTCAATGAGATACTAGAATTAATGGGCAAAAAGTTACTTAATATTTTAATGAAAGAAATAACACTCCCAAAAGAATATATAACTCCAACTCTGCAGTGGGATTTAATTGCCTGTTAGCAACCTGGTCTCTGAAGTCTCCTTAGTGAAATCACTTCTTTGGAAGTGGAATTAATAGACTCAAAAGGTAACAGATAATTTTTAAGATTCTTTCTTCTTTTGTTTATATTCTCGACCACTTTGAGTCCTGGTTTCTAAAATGCTGAACAGAACCAAGGCACAACCTATTGTAAGAGCAAGTGAAGAGCCATATACGCTGGCAAGAAGGAAAGAAGACAAATTTTGTCACTTGAAACAAATCAATATGTATATTTGTAACGGTTGTTCTGCACAGGCTTCCCCAGGAATGCCTGAAGTTTACTCCCCTTGAAAACTCCAACAGTCAAGTGAGCTGCTGCTGCTGCTGCTACAATACCTAAGGGACCATATCACCACACTAAGACCTTGCCAAGTTCTGTTATTGTTATTCAGGTGAGTAAACACAATTCTATTTTAAAATGTTGGGGGTATTCTCACCATCTATCAGGAACCAAGCCCCATACTGGAGCTACGGAAATAAAATAAAATTCTTCTTTCAGAGGGCTCATAACCTTAGAGCTTATGTCTGTCTTCATTTATGGAATTCTCCTTTTCTACTCTCAAGAAAAGAAAAGCCCCTCACATGGCAATTTAGGTGCGCTGCTTCCTGAATGAAGCCTCGTTTAAAAAATTAATAGCTAATAGTTATAAAGCACAAAAACCCTTGAGGTGGGTACTGTTATTGCTCCGAATTTACAGTTGAGGAAACTAAAATGTAAATAAGTTAAGTAAATTACCATGGTCACCATCAGTGCTGGATCCAGAATTTGAACTTGGCTCCAAAAGCTATGCCTTTAACCACTATACCATATACAGTCTGATATGGATAAGAGAAATTACACTCTGAAAGTACTATTAATTTCATAGAGTATAGGTGGTGCTCATGGAATCTTTCTGAATAGCTCGGAGAACAGGGGTAATACTCGAAGCACCCTTCAATTTTAGTACTAACGATGAAATGAGGTCGACTGGGAAGTATGCCCGACATAGGAAGTAGGTTAGAAAAGGCTCTCTGAGGAACGTATGTAAAGAAAAGCTTTGAAAATGTCCCAAGATATTACTAGAAATGCCTGGTAGCTGTGTATATATGAGGGCTTCAAAAATTCATGGAAAAATTCCATTACCTTTTCATTCTATTTTTTCCCACAAACTTTTGAAGTGAATTGAGTCTAGCCACATGTCTAGCCAGGTCAGAAACTGCTATCCTGCACAGTGTTAAAACACTGAATTTTTCAATAAAAAATTCTATGGCTAGTTTGGTGACACTAAACCCACAATGTAAACACAAAAGTGGGTTTGTTCTCCAGCTATTCATACTGGCAAAAGCTTGGGATCATTAAGGCAAAAAGATGGGAGCCTTGAAAATCAAACTGAGGCTATTTGATTCGAATATGTTGCCATTGTATTGTGAAATTTTAGTGGCAATTTCAATAGTGTGGGTTCTGATGATTTCATCCTGGCAAAGACTATTAAGAAATGAGGGCCAGGGGGGTTACCCCGTGCACCCATGCCAGATCATCTGATCTCTGTCTCAGTCCCAGAGCACTATTGCTGTCGCTGCTATTAGGTGGCCTGCAGTTGGTCCCTGACTCCTAGCAACCCTATACACACCAGAAGAAAGCCCTGTCTGGTCCTGTGCCATCTGCACAATTGCTCTTCTGTTGGAACCCACTGTTGCATCCCTTCTACTTAACCTCTCATGATGTCCTTCTCCACTTGACTGTAAGCACGCTTCAGATTGACCCTGTTTTGTAATTCTTAATCTAAGAATCATGACAAAACCAAAGCGCCAATTCTAGATAGAGGTAATCAAGGGTCTCCCAGAAGGACAATCCTCCATGACCATTAGAAGCAATCTTAGTCGGACATGTGTTGTTAGGTGCCACCGAGTCAGCTCCAACCCATAGTGACCCTCAGCAAAACAGCACAAAACACTGCACGGTCCTCTCCATCCTCACAAGTGTTCCTGTGCCTGAGCCTGTTGATGCAGCCAGAGTGACATTCCATCTCGTTGAGGGCCTTCGTTAGCTGGGCTTGCATCGCTTTTCCAATGCGCTTGTGTATGACTATGCTTTCTATTTAGAGCTGCCCTGTGCCGTGTCAGGTGTTGTTTTGTGTGGGTTTGCTTTTGAGGATTTTGTTATAATCTCTTACCCTACTTCTTGAAGTATCTGTCTATAAAGGTCATTTGCTTTTGGAGACATGAAATCTGTCCTCCGTAGATATTTCAGAGAGATTGCCTACATTGTTACTGTGGATCGTCTTTCCTGCTGCTAAATTTCTACAAACCTCTCCATTGCTTGCCAAGGCATTACATCTGTCTCATGAGTCTGCAACTATATACCACAAACACTCAAAATCCTGCCTTGTGATTCAAATGGATGGGGATCTTACAGACTATTGGGATAAAATATTAACCTAAATGATGTGCTAGTCTGTAAGTGCGTTCATGTGTCATAAAACGACACCAATATAAATATAGCCCTGAATAGATCAAGAAAGGCAATAACATTTTTATAGGTTCTAGAATAATCTCCATTTCCTCTCTTCACTACAGCACTTTCCCTCCATGCAAATGGCAAATTGTAGGGCTGGGGGGGAAAGGTACAATATTGGAGTTCATTTCTGAGATACAGGGAATAAATAAGACTGAATACCATAAAATGCTGGCTCTCATCACAGGCTTTCTACGTTCACACATTCATTTCCTTCAGGCAATTCAACACACTTGCAGTCAAATCAATTTCTTTGCATTGGGTGAGACAGAAAAGCTACAAAACCAGCTTCAATTAATTCAACAAATATATAATAAACCTGAATTTTGTGGCATGCTTCTTGATAGGCAGTATCCAAATCAGTTAGGGTCTCTTCCCTCCTGAAACTTAAAAGTTTGGAGAAAAACAGACATGAAATGATCACACAAATATATACTGTAAATATAAACTGTGATAAAAGCTACACAGGAAAAACTCAAGGTATGATGAATGATTGTAATAAAGATTGGAAGGGGTGGGGATGGTCAGGGGAGGCATCTTGGGGGAAGCTCCTTTTAAGCTGAAACATTAAGATGACTCGGAGCATTCACCAAGAAAAGAGGAAAGTGAGAAAAGAGGAAAATTTTCTCAGAGAGAACACAATGTGCAAAATCCCTCGGTGAGAAGTACCTTGAAGTGCTTCATAAGGACAGTCGGGCTGGAACATTGTGGAGCACAGGAGAAGACAGGACAAAATAAAGTGAAGGTCAGATAATTTGGAGTCTAGTCGGTTGCAATAAATAAGTTAGATTTCATTCTAAACCCAATTGGAAGTCCTCAAATAGATTTAAACATGGGAAAGCAATGCTCATAGTTGTGTCTTTGTAAGAGATTACCCAAGATGCTGTGTGGAGGAGAAGCGATAGGGAGGCCAAAGTGGAGATAGGGTGGCCTATGAAGCACCTCACGCATTAGTCCAGATGAGAGGTGATGGTGACTGTGGTGAGGAAAGTATCAACTGTGCGTGTAGAGAGATTTGGGCAGATTTAAAACATATTTTGTTGGTTTGCTTCAGTGCTTTTGAGTCCATTTCTATTCAAAGTGACTTTATGTACAAGAGAAGGAAACACCGCCCAGTCCTGTGCCAGGCTCCTTTGCCATCCTCACAGTGGTTGCATCACTATCAGTCCATCTCATCAAGTGTCTTCCTCTTTGTCGCTCATCCTCTACTTTACCAAGTATGAGATCTTTTTTCAAGGACTGGTCCCTCCTGGCAATATGTTCAGAGCACGTGAGACAAAGTCTCACCATCCTTTCGTCCAAGACAGATTTGTTTATCCTTGTCGCAGTCCATAATGCTTTCAATATTCTTCGCTAACACCGTAGTTCAAATGTGTCAATTCCTCATCAGTCTTCCTTATTCAGTGTCCAACTTTCACATGCATATGTGGCCATTGGAAATACCATGGCTAGGGATTTGGCAATTGACTGGATATAGGGTAAGTGATAAATGAGAGTAAATTGGACTCATATTTTATAACATTTGTACGAACCAACTAAAGACAAATTTCTGGCTAATATCCATAGTGGGGATGAGCAATCAGTAATTCTATGAAACAGGAGTTTAATTATGTTTGAGTATCGTATTTTCCTTTAAAGGAGTAATCAGAGCATATTTCAGGTAGAATCTAAACCCTTTCATTTTACAGAGCGAGAAATTAAGAGTCAAATGTTGTGCTAGTTTGCAAATTAATCTTGTTGTGTATGATTGTCTTATCTCCCAAAATACCATGCAAATTTTCAAAAGGTTATCACTTGTTTTGAAGCATCTCCTCTTAATAGCATCTTGTATAAGACTGATGACATAGCAGATTCCCAATGAATGCTTCCTAAATTAAAATTAATTTAATGACTTCTGTTTTCTCAGCAGATACAACAAAATGGATATTCCAGCTATTGAAAATGACAGTGAAGTGATGGAGTTTATCCTGGTGGGTTTATCCAATCATCCAAAATCCCAGGTTGCATTTTATTGTATTATGTTAGTGGTCTACCTGGTCACACTGTTGGGAAACAGTCTGATTATTGTTGTAGTTAGAATTGATGGGAGACTTCATACTCCTATGTATTTTTTCCTAAGTAACCTATCCTTCCTAGACATCTGCTACTCTAGCAACTCGGTGCCTTTTTTGTTGTTTAATGGTCTGAGAGACTACCCAACCATCTCCTATACCAACTGCTATGCCCAGATGACCATTGCTCTATTTCTGGGGATGACTGAGTGTCTTCTCCTTGCTGTCATGGCTTATGACAGGTTTGTTGCAATCTCGAATCCCCTGCGCTACACCATCATCATGAGTCATCAGGTATGCCTACAAATGGCCATGGTGACCTGGGCCAGTGCCTTCCTTTTAGCCCTAATACCAGTCATTGCATTTCCTGCTCATTTTTGTGGACACAATATCATCAACCACTTTACCTGTGAGGTCCAGGCCCTATTGAAACTTGTCTGCTCAGACACCCCACTCAGATTTATTCTGGGCCTGGTCATTGGCATATTCACACTTCCCATGCCCTTCACCTTCATCCTTATCTCCTATGCTCGCATTGTGGTTGCAGTGCTGAGGATCCGCTCTGCAGAGGCCAGGCTCAAAGCTTTTTCTACCTGTGGCTCTCATCTGACTGTGGTCACCATCTTTTATGGAACTGCTATCTACATGTACTTGAAACCTCAGTCAAAGGAATCCCAAGACCAAGACAAAGTCGTCTCTGCATTTTATGGTGTTGTGACCCCTATGTTGAACCCCCTAATTTATACCTTGAGGAACAAAGATGTAAAAAATGCCATAAGAAAAATAATTGGAAATAAAGAGTTCTAAAAAAGACAATATTCCATGGAAACTCATCTACTCAACTTTCTGTTGATTTACAATAATAATAAGGTAGAAATATTAAACAAAATTTTTGTAAGATAATTAGATTCAAATGCATTTCTTCTATTTCCAATAAGCATGCAGGAAAAAACATCCTTCCACTTAGCAGAACTGGTGAAATTATAACATAGTGAGTCATTTTAGCGATGAATACAGGACAACTTTGAGGGCCTATTATTAATAATAAATAATAACTAGTACATTTTAATCCTTGCATTTAAATTTTTATTTTAGTAAATGAGGTATTCCTATATTGTAATGTTCTTTATTATAGAAATAAAGATTTTGTTGTACATTGTTGCTTGGTTTTGCTCTGTCTTGTTTTTTTGCATGTTGTTGTCTCCGCAGGTCTGTCTGGATAGGACAGGCTGGTGAACAATCTGGAGGAGAAAACAACGGGACTGACAGTTCCGGGGG